TAGTGGATCCCCCGGGCTGCAGGAATTCGATCTCGGATGACTATTTGGACGCCAAACGTAAAAAACGGAGAAACCGAGCAACGTTTACCAGTTTCCAGTTGGAGGAAATGGAACGAATTTTTCAGAAGACTCACTACCCGGATGTTTATGCCCGGGAACAACTCGCCCTAAGATGTAATTTAACTGAAGCCAGGGTACAGGTAAGACTAATTGAATTTTTTTTATTTTATTGTCCAAAAATCTTACAATAAGTAAACTTAAAATTAAATGGGTAAAATTTCGCCAAAAAATCTTAAAATCGGTTGACCCCAATAAACCTAAAAATTGGTAAAATATTGCCCTGAATCAAAGACAAATTTGAAGTAAAGGTTGCGCATTTTCTCCCTTCTGAGTTTTATTTATGATGGAAACAGAAGATACGGACCAAATAATCAATGATACATGCTGGATCTTGTCCCGTGATATAATGATATAATCAATGGCATAGCACTTATTAATAACGACATATTTAGTAATGTTTAGTTTCGGTAAATGTTCAAGGTTTTAGAAATCAAATGTATTATGAAACGAATCAAAAATTATATTTCTTTAAATTATTCAAATCTTTTACATGATACAGATTAACGCTAAATTTTATAGTAAAAGAATAATGCTTGCACGTTATGATGATAATTGCAAGTTGCACGTTATGATGATAATTGCAAGTTGCACGTTATCTGTTATTTGTTGGAGATGATAAACTAAAGTTCGAAATGTCAAAGACACCGGAAGTAACTATCTATAAAACGCAAAAAGACTATAATTATCATCAATGTACTTTTATATTGGAATATATAGAATTAAATTCCGATTTTTTGTAAAACAGAAATATATTTGGATAATGGGATTTTTTTTTCAATATCAATTTTAGAGAAAGCCAAATCAAACGATTGGAATACGTAAAAACATATTAAATTCAGTGCAACTTGTCCCTTAATCCAAAGTCTACCTAGAAGACTGAGTGCGTGAGATAATCAAGCTATAGAATGGTGTCCGGGGTACCACGTGTTAAAAAGATGTCCCTTCTGTCGGTTTATGTCATTATCCACGTTCTAAACGGAAATTTGTCATGTTTAGACTAGTTCCTTTGAAAATTGTTTCCCCTTTCTTGTTCCAATCTGTTCTCCTGAAAGTGTCGCAGAAGTCTGTGACTGTGCGATTCTTCTGGTAACCGTCTGGTTTAAATTCTTTTTGTCACCAATAATACTAATATTAGTTCACGAACATCAAAATATATTTCCTAATATGGAAACCGCTCTCTCACACCATAGTGATTGCCAGTTGCGTATGAAATACTTTAAAATCTTCGGATGTCAAAGTTGTATAGTAGCGGACTCCTCCAAAGAGAAGTACCATCAGGTGTTTTGAAAAAGAGTGAGCACGCCACCCACCACTACTATAATGGTCAACATCATGAGATACAATCAGATCAATTTATAGACGACAAAACAAATCATAAAATTGTTTAGGACATTCTCATTTATATACTTCAAATCTATTGATGATCATCTTCTCAAAAATACTCGAAATATTTGAACTGAGTGACTGTTGTTTCAGAATGGCCAGTTTCCCTTATTAACCCCGAGGTACGATAGAATATAGACACATATGTAGCTTGTTACCGCCCACTCCGGGGGGTGCGGCCAGATGTCGGACGGTAGGAAGGAATGGTCAGGTCTGGACGACATCTGTGAACTTTGATACTATGTATAAGAGAAGTAAATTTGATAACTATATTGATTCTTGCTCTGTCCCATCGAACCCACCCTCAGTTTTTAACATGTGATATATTAAAGGGGCTATGGGGAATGGGGTAGTGGTTTGATCCGAGTTGGTCTGTCCGTTAACTAAGATTATGACAGCGGCATTATTTCGCCACCGTAATAAAACGATCATAGTGTTTAGATCAAATGCGAACATAACGGGCCGAGGACCGAATCAACGGCTATCTTGGTGTAACCCCTACTTTTCTAACCCATGAATCGTTCGGTGAAACGAGTATAAATAGCTTTAAAAGAATCAAGGATGTTTTCAACTATATCTATTAGGTAGTCTTACTTCTTCCTCTCACCAAAAAGATTTCTCTTCTGCTATCTTTGGTTTCTGTATTACCAGTACCATTTGACTTGAAAACGTTTAACTAAAACTATGGAAGGCGGAATGGCTTTTTATTCAATGTTCTTCATTGCCATTTCTTAATTCTTAATTCTTAGCTCTTAATTTGTACGCTTAATTCAATATTTGTCATTGAAAATTCAATAGCAATGAAGAACATTGAATAAAAAGCCATTCCGCCTTCCATAAAAAACTGGATTAATATAGATGTAGATATTATATATAAGTATTTCCTCTTTGTATGTAAATTCTCTTGGTTTGAGCATTATTCTGAATTCTGTCACATGTCTCATGAATATGTATAAGTATATTGTCAGTCTGGTATGACATTGGTGACATCAGGTCCCTTGTGGATGTCAACCTTCAACCTGTCTGCTTCAAGATAAACCTGTATCATATTCTGTTGGGTGTTTGGACTAACTTGGGCAGAAACAGTGCACGGAATTCTGTATTTCAATTTTTTTCGCAAGTCTATCTAATTTTTGGAATTGGATATGCTAAATTATAGCATATTAACAATATTAGCTTTGTGGACGCTCCAAAAGGGATGCCGTGTTGACAAGTGCTAACGATACCCGCCATAAAGTGTAGTATTTTAGTGGAGCTCTGACAAATGCAGTCGTATGACTGGCATTGCCAACGACATCCGCCATAGTGCTTATAAAATGGAGCTCAAATTTATTAAGTCTTTGACTTAAGTCTTTGAGCTTAAAATGAAACTATACTTTTTGTAAAAAAAAGGGCCGTGTCATTTTAACTAATTTACCAAAATAAACATTATTATCTATGTGGGCTCCCTAAAAATGGACTTCAAGTTGACGAACAATCAAACTAGTATTATATTTTGGTATAATATTTGAAACAATCTCTGTATAAAGAGCTCCAGTCCAAGTTTTCTCGGGAATCCATTTGGGAATAGAGTAAAAGTACCAAAGTATCTGAATAAAAATAAATAACAAACTCTGTCCCTGAGGAATAAGTTAAGTGGCGGGGCTGGAAACAATATAAAATATAATATATACCATAGTTAGCTACTTACAGAGTTATAGATGTACCTGTTGGAGAAGATGTGGGGTAAGGGGGGCGGGGAGAGTGTCAGTTCCTGAGTGTATTTCAGTAAGTGTTTGGATGGCTGGGGTGGGGGTAGAGCTGTGATATCCATGTGATATAAAATATACCATAGTCAGCTATATAGAATAAGGTACAGTAGGCCACAAGTACGATGTAAAATTACATATCATTTCAAGTGCGATTAGGAAATTAAGTGCTGAACAGTAGGGTAAAACATAAAATTTCATTTCATTTTTTTTTGGCATAAATCTAAATAATGATAATGTGTTGGTAAGAATTCTGAAAATTGTAAAAGACATGTTTTGTGTGTTTTGTCTGTAAAATAGTAAAGTAGGCTCACTGTTCGTTATTCTGGACCATTCGGTATCACACAGTGCTCTGTCGTTGAAGAAGACGAAATAAGTTGTATTACATCGTTTTTTATTCGTTCTATATTTCATCGACTGATTACGACAACCATAAAACAGTAGGCGAACACCAGAATATTCAATTAACGTTCCATATTGCACGTGATTCTCACTCTAATATCTACATAATAAATATAATTTAAAAAAAGATACGTTTTTTAAAAATTTGTCTTCTATAATCAGATGCTGTTGACTTCAAAAGAGTTGAAAATTTGGTTGAGTTACATTATCTCAAGATATGCCTCTTTCTATTACAGACTCGCTGCCCCCCGTAGTGTCGTCTGATAGGAGTTCTTCCCGCGAAAACATTAGCGCCGTTTTCAATATGGCGTTTTTTCTACTTCCTACTGGGAGATAACTCTTTCATCACGCCGGTTATCCAGGCGTCACGGTGTGATTATGTATAGTAATTTATGTGTTGATGGTTTCTAAGAAATTCTCTTTTATAAACTCAGCTATCGTCGTGTAATACAGGCCCCCTACCATTGACTTAATTTATTCTAAAACATGATAATTAAAATTTTAAAATAATTTCGTCTCTTTTAAAGATTTTAATGGTGGAATCTGTAGTCTCGATCTTTGTGTAGCACCAAGACGTATTTTACTGATGATTGATAAAATTACCCAAAACCAGATTGTAATATTCAGATAAAACATTTTTCAAGTTGAAATAAAAATAACTATTAGATTGATTAATTCCAAGATTTATTAATTTAATTTTTCTACCAAAATTGATAAAATTACACTCCTCGTATATATGATAAAGATATGAGTGTATAATACATTATATAATACAGACCCTGCGTTCAGTTATCCGTTTTGATAAAAGCTATTTTACAAAACGTACCTACAGTTCAGTAGGAAACAACAAAACTTCACGAAACACTTCCAAACGTTTTCTTTTATTTTATGTATCGTTTTTATTCTTAAGTCTACTGAACAAGTGGTAATTGACTGTGTTAAGGATCATGCTCCATTTCGAAGCCCTTGTATGATTTCGTCTTCTAAACCAACGTTTTTGCAACGTTTATGATTATTTGCGATTTTAGTACTGGTGTTATGGAACGTTTTGTTATTTTTTTATTAGGCGGAATCAAATAGAAAACTGTTTTATCAAAGCGATAAGCTAAGATTCACACGGTCAAGGCTAGACCAATTGTTTTATGAACTCTAGAAAAAATAGTGAGCTCCGTTATCAAAATTTCTAACGCGTTGAGCAAACAATATTCCACTTTTATATACAATGATAATATAATCCAATGTTTCTGAAATGACAAATTTACAAATTGACATATTGTATTCATTTTAAAAATAAATCAAATTTCACGTGGTAATAAAAATAAATTTTCACAAATGATGACTGAATAAATATGTAAAAAATTGGCATGAAGTGAAATGTACGCGCATTACACCAATTTAATTCAACGTGTGTTTTTAAACGATCAGAATTGAGTTTTTGGACTGTGATTAATTTACAAAATGGCGACACAGACTGTTCCAATCTTTATAAATGTCAAAGTTTATTTTCCTAATTTTCTAATTTTTAGATTATTTTCTCCTGTTACCTT